AAGAAAGTCGTTAACATTTAAATTTATGATTCGGTTTTGCTTAAAGTATCACCGTAGAAGGGACTTATAAGATTTGGTAAAAGAGGAAAGTTGAGTCCAAGATTTATTGGACCGTTTAAAGTTCTTCAGAGGATTGTGAATCAAGCTTACAAGCTAGAACTACCATAAGAACTAGATGGTATTCATAACACTTTCCATGTGTGTTATTTGAGGAAGTTCATGGGGGAAGTTCGTGACATAATTCCAATTTCTGAATTAACGTTGGATGAAAGCAAGAGGTTAATCGAAGAACCAGAGGCAATCATTGACCGTAAGACTAAGAAATTGCAACGCAAGATGGTCGAATTAGTGCTTGTGCGATGGAAACATGCGAATGGGCAAAATCTCACCTGGGAAACGGAGAGTGACATGATAAGTCGCTATCCGCATTTCTTTGCTGATGTGTGATTATGGGGACGGAATCATCCTAAGGGGGAGAGAATTGTAACGCCCGTATTTCTAGGCTAAAGCATTAAAGATGATGTAATAGTCTAGTTTAACCTTTGTAATTCGTTTTGAAGTAATAAAGATGAATTATGTGAATATTATGTGGATTTTGTGCTTGTTTACTTAATTATTATGTTTAATAAGTTAAGAATAAAAATAAGTTCAAAATAAAATGTTAGATAAACCCAATATCTATGTAGAAAGTTGTAGTGGTTGAAATAAGGATTCCGGAGATATAAAGAATACCGAAATCCGAGCTATAACGAAGAAGTTATGACATGTCGAAGTTTCATGACATAACCGACACAACACTATATGACGTAAATAGTGAATTTACGATATAACGATTTTTAGCCTTAGTGATTCAAACGAAAGTCATAGAGTTTGTTAAAACGAGAGTGTGCATAAAAAGAACGCCCAAATCTGACTTTGTATGAGGAAGTTATGGTTTTTCTAAGTTTCGACTTAGCAGTATGTAGCCCAAAACTCGAAATTCAGATCGAGTGATTTTTAGCCAAAATAATCTAAACAATAATCGAAGATCTCATTAATAGTAGTGCAACGGTAAAAAGATTGATGGAAACGGATGTTGGATGACGAAGTTATGAATTTTTAACGGGCTTTTCTTGTCCCGGTCTGTTAAAAATATAACTTTAAAAATAAACTCAAAATTAGCCGACGGAGTCTAAAGGAAAATTGTATAGCATAGTCTCACCTACACGTGGATATAAAGAACGTCAAAAACGGAGCTCGTATGCAAAAGTGACAAATTTTAGAAATTTAGAAATTCGGAGTACGCCCAGCGTACTCATGTTCATGGTTTGAGATGGGCCACGTAGCCTACTACTTCGCATGAGAGACGCGTGTACGTAGCTCTGATGCGTCCGAGATGATCCACCCATACGCCCAGCGTACTGGACCACCTCACAGTATGCCCAGCGTACAAAGATATTACGCCCAATGTAATTCCAGGTTCCAGCACCTATAAATAGGACTCGAGGGCAGCTGGGTTTTTTGTTTACTTCTTTAACATCTTTCACCCCTAAACTTTCTTCTACTTTGCAAGAAATACCCCCGAAGCCTAGTGTATCGTCCTAGCACCCATAGCAAGTTCCAAAGCCCAGAAGATCCCGAGAAAAAGAGTTATCGAGCCGAAACTCTGCCCGTGTGGAGCCTGGTTTTTGAGAAAACTTCCCGATTTCATTGAAGAATATTATTTTTAGAGCCGAAGTACTGTCCAATTATCTTCTTAACATGTGAGTGTGTAGTCACTTTCATCTAAAACATAGATATGAAGTATGGTCTATAAAATATGTGCTATGTGTTTATATATTATTTGTTTATTTAAGATAAATGAATGTTTTATATAGGTTTTATATTGTATATGTATTTTTATCTACAAAAATGTTGGGTAAAACATGGGTAAATTGTTGATGTGTGATGAAATAAAATGATGAGATGCCTCGATGTTATTATGATACAGTCATCTAGCGGAGTACGGATGATGACCACGGACTTTTCTAGATAGTCTTGTGGAACGTTGGAAGGCTCGCAACCTGTAAGTGTTAATGAGCTTAGGGGTTCATTTGTTGTACTCCATCCCCCACATGGTTGCCTTATTTGACATAAATTGTTGGGAAACTCCCAAAGCAGTGTTGTCGCCCCGATGAAAATCCTATAGGTTAGGTCCCTTGTGATAGTTGTTTTAGAGACATAAAGTGAGGATAACAGGAATGGGTAATCGGGTTATTGTTGTTTGATGAAATTAATAAATTTATTTATTGTGGGTTGAAAACCCTATATGCTCACCAGGCTCACAAGTCTGACCCACTCAGTTTTCTGTATTACATGTAGTGGACCCCGGGCGTAGTTTGGAGGTTGAAGAGGGATTTTTGAATTATAAGTCAGTAGTTGTAAATACATGTTGTAAGGCTTATAATTTACTGTTTATGCTTTTGGTCTGTTTCTGGACATGACATCCCGAGGTTTTTGATATATAATGAAAATATTTATTTCTTTAAGAAATGTTTTGTTAAATTTTTATTATATTTTGTTTTGGGGAACAAATTTCGCAACATCTTTTGGAAAATTACTCTGATTTTATTTTAAAAGCATAAATTGAATCGGTCTTTTCTGGCCGAGAAAATTGGGGATGTCACACACACACACATACACACACACACACACACACACACACACACACACACACATATATATATATATATATATATTCTTTCCTTTATTGGGCTTGGAAAATTAATTTACATGTTTAGTGGGCCTTAGTGTTTCTTTTACATGTTTAGTGGGTCTGGAATATACCTTATATGTTTAATGGGCCTTAGTTGTCCACTTACATGTTTATTGGGTCTGGAATATACCTTATATGTTTTTCTTTCTTTTTCCATTTAAATTCGATTAAGGATCTAGTGAGACGTGTTGGTAGACACCTATTGAGTGTACGATCATAGCCTGTAGTTATAACCAAAGTCTCTTGGAGGGAGAGCGTGAGTTTGTGTATAGATCTATACGGGGGTGACGCCCCACACCTGAGTTGTTCGCTACAGTTAGACTAGGCCAGTCTAGGATGACAAACCGTACCTTATTCCGTCGGCGTCCGAAAAACACCAAGACAGGCGAAATTGTCATTATCTAGTATAGTTATAACGGCTCACTTAGAGGAATTAACGTTATAAAATTTACAAGAAACCATTCTCTTTTCTTTTTGGATAAAACGGTAACCTATACGCGCTGGTACTCAACCTCGGGGGTTGAGATTCCAGCATTCTCTTACGCAAACAACATTGGGTTGTCTAGGATCATTCTCTTTTTATTTTCGCAAACATTAACCCACGTGCATTAATATAAGATCGGACACAAATACTTCAAATCATTTCTTTTTAGAAAATATCGGATTTTACGGGAAGATTCGCTTCACTTTTACAAGCACTATGAGAACTACTCTAAACAAGTACAAAACCATTTTATACAGACATGCAAATATTCACAGTTTTAGAACGAGACTTACAAATTATTTTTATAAAAATATCGGATTTCTGAAAGCACTATGAGAACTACTCTAAACAAGTACAAAACCATTTTATACAAAAAATGCTTATGAACTCACCAATTTTTTAGTTGACGCTTTTCAAAACGACTTGTATTCTCAGAGATCTAGTAACAAGTAATAAACTTGGCTATGAGATCAAGTGGTGCGACTTCAAGAAATTTTACTTTCTTACTTTTGTGTAACTGGTGAACAAGTACAATATGTAAA